AAAGAACGAACGACACGGTACGAAATAACAAAAACAAGGCAGAGCATTTTCACTGTAAAAACAACAGAAACATTCACCTCTTCTTCGTATCACTAAGAAATAAGAACAAGCTAAATAAAGAAATGTATTTAATAATTATTAATTCTTGTCATTAGAGACTCAAAAGAAGAAATGTTGAACATTAACTATTCAGGATCCTTAAACTGCTGAGTCCTGCTGAGGCCAGTCCCTGCTTGGGTTTAGAGACAAGTCTGGTGCAAGTTCAGATTTTAAAGCACACAAAGTTGACAGCACAAACAAGTTCATGTTCAAAGCAGTTCAACAAGCTCGCTGCTTGTGTTAAGGTATAAATATCCTATGAAATGCGGGCTTTTACTCAAATGAACTGAAAACTGTAGATGATTAAGAAAAACTCCTGCTTGTTCCAAGACATGTTGTGAGACAGACCTGGAAGTTGTCTTTCTCCAGAGCCTCCAGCTGTCTGGTCAGTCTCCTCTGCCTGGTGGCTTCATCCAAAACTCTGCGCTGACCGGCCTCCACCCGCGCTGACAGACAGACAGACAGAGGATGTTTACATCCTTACAACATCACGTAAGCTGTAAATTGTAAACCAAGTGTGTTGTAAAAGCTTGACTGACACAAACATTTAGTGAACAGTTTACAGCTTGTTAGGAGCTAAACCTAAATTCAGAGGATTGTTGGAACCATACATTTTAATAAAATACCCAGAATCCTTGCAGTCATCGCCCCGTTAAAAAGCCGCTGGCTGCCACATCCGTCGTCTTAAATGAGGATTTTATTGTGTGTATGTACATCCACTGGTCAGTTTATTAGGAACCCTGACCAGCCACCACGGTTCATGTGAATTCTGTTGTATGTTAATGGGGTTCGACACTGATGTTCATGTGGTGGGTTTGTACTGGTTTCCGCTGTTTTCTGTAATGTGCCCGCGCTGTTCTGACCAAGAGAAGGATATAAGAGGAGGGCATAAGGGGGTAGGTCCTGTTGGGCGGAACGGGTTGATGTTAGGAGATCTTGTGTTGTGATACCGTTTTCTTTTCACTCTCTGCAGGTCCATGTTACAAGATGTTAGGAGATCTTGTGTTGTCCTGAAAAGAAAGCCGATAAACGACAGGACCTGCGTTCTCCTCCTTGATAGCTAGGTGCCGGCGCACAGCTGGCTAGTTAGCTGCACAGGTTTAGGGCAGGGTTAGGCCAGCTCCTCTCATCCGAACCAGCGGAGCGCTACATTATATTAAAGAGCGTTATTACCATTAACATTTATATGCCGAATTAACCGCTTACCTACAAACATTATTAACAAGTAACGGCGATATTAAAGACAGGGTATATCGCTTAAAGCACTGCAGTACCGTTTCAAGTTTACGTTTCGTTAGTTAGGCCCGGAGCCATCGCCAAAAGGCCAAACGTGTACACGGAGAACCAGTCAAGACAACCTTATACATTCTAAACAGTAACTTCGTACCAATAATTAACTGGTAACGCGTTAAATCCACGTCTTAATGTGCAACTCTCGTTAAAATTGAACAAAACTCACCGGAACCCTTTTTTTCCAGTACCATGTTAGCTGTTGTTGTTATCGTCTCATTTCCTGTCTACGGAAGCCACAGAGGTCACGTTACGTACCAAATCAGACGGAGAGCGTCTTTCTTTACTTTCTGTTCAAGCATAAAACTTTCCCTCCTGGACAGCTCACAATATAACACAAGACTAACATTAGAGATGTGTTTTAATCTCAGATCAATTTAGTGGCTAATCAATGCTACTCTGGGTGTCTTTGCTACGGCAAGCCAAAGAGGACCTGTTATTATTTGAATGCGTTTTCTTTTTCTTTGTGGCCACATAGTGTGAAACTATAACCATTACTGCCCTCACTAGTTTGGAGTATTATACAGTAAATACACTTTACTAGAGCTGCAGTGATGAGTCCATAATCAATAAGCCGACTTATAGAAAATAACTGGCAGAGAATCCATTAATCGATCAATGAATCAAGTAACTTCTTGCCAAAAATTGGTTTCAGATTCTCAGTTGTGAGAATTTGTTGTAATGTTTGTTTTTTGCTGAAATTATAGTTAATTGAATCTCTGAGGGTTTAAGCATCAGAAAATTGATTGCTAGTATAACTCAATAAATATTGATTTTACATTAGATCAGAACTCCAAAGCACCGTGACAGTGGTGCGGTGGGTAGAGCAGTTGTCTCCCAACCAGAAGGTTGAAGGTTCGAATCTCGGTGTCTGCAAACAACGTGTAGAAGTGTCCTTGGGCACTAAATCCCTGATGGTTAGAGCCAACGGTTGAGTTGGTGCCACAGACGGCTTCCATCGGTTCTGTACCGGAAACAAATTCCTTGTGTGTATCATACTTGGCCAATAAAGGTGATTATAATCATAAAACCTGAGAGCTTCATTTTCCCTGATGCACCTGCTGAGATGGTAAAATATTTTAAAATCTCAAAACTTTATTCACTCAACAAATAACTTAATGCAGTTTGTACAAAGCCAGAGACAGTCGACTCCTCGTAGGGGACCGTGGACATAAAACCAGAGACAGCATCAGGCAGAAACCTCGTCCCTCAAACAGAATTAACGCTGTCTCAACATTTTCACTTTAAATAAGGAGAAAAATACTGAGAGATAGCGATTTACCACGGCGCTGATGAAAATACTCAGCTACATGATGGAAACATGGAAAACCAAAAAAAAATACAGCAAAGAAAAAATGAATTAAAAAAAACTACACAATGAAAATATCAAAGGCCTTTAGTACTTTACCAGTACCAGTTTTTTAAAAAAGTGGAGTTTCTGCTCCATAACACTCAATTTACACACTTTTACTAAATACCCCGACTTCCTAGTATAAAAATACTGTATTATTCATACTTTCATTTCTTTTCTAAATATATTCATGCTCACCTAAATTTAGGCTTTTCTCTATTATCACTCCTTCTCCTGATTTACCTTTCACTGTTTGGGTGAATAAAACAATAACGATGCTACTGACTGCTGCTACGAGTCCCTACACCCCAACACTACATGGTGGTTGCCACAGTAACCACAACATTCTTTTTTTATTTGCCTCAACCAAGCATGTTTTCTAATTTGGGAGAAAAATTTTCCAAATGACAAAACGCTCTAGATGGGCTTTGGTTACCGTGGCAACCAAGAAGCGAGCGCCGCCTGCAGTACACATGCTAAGGCACCACGTTAGACCAAATCAGCAGCAGCAGCAGTTTTTAGAGTTGGCTGGACTGTAACAGCAGAGAGCTGACGGACACACACACACAGAGAAAAACATGGAGTGTGTTTTGTTTGCATAGATTGAGGAAGTGTAATAAAGTAAGGCAGCACAGTGTCAACTGAATTGATCCCCACAGGAGACTCTTAATTTGAAATTCTTCTAAACAATGCCCCAATACTAGGTTTTGATAGTGTCTTTGCACATTTGTCTTTTGATGCATGAATGAAAATAAAGGCTAAAAAAAGTGTCAACAATGATGCGTTCAGGGTCCCCCACATCTGTTCCACCTGACGGTACGATGCGTTGAAACGTGAGGTGTGATCACAGCTCGTTATAACGGGTCACAGGTAAAGGCACCTACAGTGAAGTGGCTCGTCCAATCAGACATGAAACAAACATCTGTAAGTCCAGGATGGGAAATTATCTGAGACGATGCATTCAAGGTCATTGCGTCTTTTCCATCATTCCATCTGGCTTGATCTGTGATGATGAAGTCAACTAATGTACTCACTCTCACACACACACACACACACACGCACTCAGGGCGTCTAGGGGTCGACGAAGGACACCATGATGTATCTGGTCCCCCTGGTGGTGGGCAGGCCCTCGTGGTAGTGCGTCAGCCGGCCAGGGTGCATGAAGGACCAGCCTTTCCTGGGAGACTCCACCTTACAGTTGTAACGCAGGAACCTGCAGCCTCCACCCTGACAGATGCACGGACACAGACAGGTTAACGCACTCAGGTGTCTGTTCTTTGCTTTTTACTCTTGGTACTAAAACTAGAGGCAACTGTGATCAGCTCACAACTGGTCACGTTTTGATGGGACGTCCTGTCTTTACTTTAACACACTCTACTGCAGACGACCCCTCCTGACCTGGGGAACCCTGCTCAGAGCCGAGACCTGGCACTTTAATGTCGTGTCCTTTGTTTCATTTCAAACTATATGAATAAAACCAGCTGTGGAGTTGATGACAGCTCCTGGTTATTCACAGTGTGGTTTGTCATTTCCTGATGACCCTCGTATCACATCAGTGTGTGTGTGTGTGTGTGTGTGTGTGTGTGTATACACCTCGTAGTCAATGTTCTTCCTGTTCAGGGCGATGTTGATGGTGAAGGTGGAGGAGTCGTGGTGCGGCCGCAGAAACGGCTGCTCGTCAGGTCGGTAACGCACCACAAAGTTCATGATGGCCTGAGCCTGCACACGCACAAAATCACATGGTTTACAACAAAATGAATGACAGGAGCTGCACAAACAAGTTTAACTCAAACAAACTCAGCAGAACCATAACGTGTAGTGCACCGCTACATGTAGTGAACCGCTACATGTAGTGAACCGCTACATGTACTTCACAGTAGACTGTGTTCTCTGGGGAGAAGTCTGCTCTGTGCCTGGACTTTATGTGGAGTAGTGTGTGGACACGACCTGGTATCTGGACTGCACGCTGAGGCAGCGTCTGGAGTTCACGCTAACTGAATAAACGATAACTGTACAACCACGGGGCAGAGCCCAGACTATACCTCGGTGTGGTGTCTGGACGGTACCTTGGGGTAATATCCAGGATAGAGTTTCTCTGTGACGGGGACGACGTACTCCCTGAGGAATTTGAGCCACTCCTTCTCGAAGCCAATCTGGTTCATGTGAATATCCACAGTGGGGACGTTTTCATAGCCGCCAGCCAGACGCTCGTCCTGAAACACAGACAAGACTGGACCCTCAGTGCTCACTGTCCCCGTCTGCTTCAGACAGAACTAGTCACAGGGGTCAAAGGTTACCTTGTGTGAACCTGCAGACCACTCTCCATGGTCCTCCATGGTCTCCACCAGGTGATCACACATCTTATCTGAGAAAGCTGGAAACCAGTAAACGTCTGGACAGGGCTGGGAGAGACACAGAGGTCAGATCATTTGGTGGTATTGATCTAAAACTAATCCAAAGCAAAGTGAAGGAGGAAAACAAAGGGACACAGATGTGTCTCACACAGTCGCCTGCTGCCTTCACTCACTCCTCTGTGAATCAGTCACACTGGTCGTTGAACTGGGCTGCGTTGTGTTACCTGCTCCACGAAGCTCTTCTCATCGTCAAAGATCCTGGAGTAGTTCTCATGGATGTACTTCTCCTTCCAGTCCTGAAAACACAGACACACTGAGCCTGTGCTGTCTTCAGTTTACCGTGTCCTCATGTTAGTGCGTTCACGTGAGTGTGTCTGACCACAGGGTTGTCGAAGATCTGCCACATGTCCGGGTGCAACCTGGATGTGTTGAAGTTGGTCGACGTCACCAGACGACCAAACTCATCGCGGTTTGACACGAACATGAAGATTCCCTGTGGACACATGATACGTTCAGGTTTACCATCCAGACTTTGCCAGTGTTTATTAGTCTTTGTCCACAACATATAGCGGCGCGGCTCAGAAACAAATCTCAGCGTGGACACCAGACTCCAACATGAACTGTGGAAGAAAAAAGGGCTGAAACATTCAAATACGAAAAGGGGTGTTACCTGGTCTCTGACGCTTCTGCAGAACGCCATGTCAGGGTCCATTCACAACATATAGCGGCGCGGCTCAGAAACAAATCTCAGCGTGGACACCAGACTCCAACATGAACTGTGGAAGAAAAAAGGGCTGAAACATTCAAATACGAATAGGGGTGTTACCTGGTCTCTGACGCTCCTGCAGAACGCCATGTCGGGGTCCATCGCCTCGTCCACGTACAGGCTCACCTGGGACAACTTGGACCGCAGCACGCTGCCTTTGATCAGGTAGGCCTGGCTGACGTACGGCACGTTCCACAGGCCGCTGCACACACACAGCAAACAGGTTTCACCTCACCACAACCGTGTGAAGTCTGACCCGGCTGAAACATGGACGCTCACTAAACAGAACCATCTGCTCGACTAAACTGCTCTGTGTGTGTGTGTGTGTGTGTGTGTGTTCGCTCACATCCTCTTT